AGACTAAGCAGACAGTTATTAGCTGGCCTGCTGCTGTTAGCTGCTATCCACCGTCTGCCTTTCTTACCTGCGGCGTTGCTGTCAAACAGATCCATAGTAGTTTCTCTCAAAGATTTTATTTTTATCCAAAATGAAGCGAAGCAACACTTAATCTTCAAAGACGTCCGGCTGAGGTAACGTTTTAGGATGGCCTCACCCCACAAGCACACAGTTATTATCAGCAGCCTCCCCCCTGACTTAAATCAGCCTGAACAGCATTCAGACGGCTAATGTTAGCCACTGACAACTCCGACCCTCATTGTTGGCTTTGTAAAAAACGTGTGAACTGGGTATAATTATCTGTATATCCAACTATTCGAGGGGGAAATAAACCCAGATAAAAACAAAATTGAGCCCACCGGCTCAGAAGAGCAAAATTAGAAGACACTTTCCTCTTCAAGCCAGTTGTTGACAACGTTTCGTCAAGTTAGAAAGGTCTCATCCGATTGGATGATGATATTTAGGGGCGGGGCGAAGACCCCATCCTAGGAGTGCACATGATAGGTCATATTTCCTTTGATTTGCACAAGTTACGTTGATCTCCTGTATATGATGATTTTTTTTATTTTCTCTTTTTTGTAAGAATGCAAAGTGGAGATTCCTACCTGAATATGTAATTAGCGTTCTGATCAATAAAGTCGATTGCACACACACACACGCACACACACACACACATATATATATATATATATATATATATATATATATATATATATTTTTTTTTTTTTTTTTTAAGATTACCCCATTAGTCCTCCTCTGCAAAAGCTTAAAATGTGCTAATATAATACATGCTCAAGTTTAAAGAATAGAAATGTAACTACAAGCAGGAATGTTTCAAGGAGTTGGGGCTTTTGAAAACAGATTTTTACATTAAAAAAAACAAAAAACAAAAATCCTTCTGTTATTATTGTCACACAATACATCTAGTTTAACCTTTTCTTAATACAGTTTTTAAACATAGTTTTCACCTATTTGTATAATTAATTTATCTTTACTACCTTTTTACAAAGCCCATTTCTCACACATTTTTGTCTTAGACCACAAATATTCTAAGGATGCTAAGTACCTGTTTCATGTCTTTATCTATAATAATTAAATATAACAATGCTCTGTTATCAGGTTTATTAAAATAATCTGTAAGGTGTCCAGATGGTACAAAATCAAGCAACAGAATGTTTGACTGATACCAGTTAAAAAGCTAAAATAATATCAGCTTGTTTATCAATTGAAGTTTGCACAAACAAGGAAATTCTACTCTTTTTTTCCAAAAATAATGCTCTAAGCTCAGGTGTGGTGTCAATCCCAGCTTTTTAGACATATCCACACAAGTGTGCCTATATTTAACTTATGTTTGGCTGATTTAAAAACCTTAAAGTTTTCTCTCAACTATCATTAAATTAAGGTATTCCCACTGTCTGTGAACCTTTGATTTTTCTTTGAAAGCATTTTAGATTATCTGATGTGTAGGGTAAATTTTGTTTGCTGGGGCTACCCATGATGGAGCTGTAGAGTGGGTCTGCAGCTGTTCTTAGCCCAATTATTGACTGTAGGACCTTTGCTGAATTTCTTTTCTCCCTACCTACTGAGTGTAAATAAAGACCACTAATGCCACAGGAAACTGAAAAATTATATATTGGCATTCTGAATAAGGCCTTCAGGACATGTTCCTATCTGGACTGATGGAACAGCAAGCAAGCTGGTCGGAGGTGTTTTAGAAATTGTGGAAAAGAACCACTTTGTTTTTTAGTATTAGGCGGCAAGTCTATAATGGTAAAGGTCACTGAAGTTGTTAAATTTCATATTGGTGACAAGAAGCCATAGGCAGACACTTAACATATTTTGAGGCTGTTGTGGACGACACACCATGTCATTCTAATTGGATACCGTACTATTCTATCAGAAATCATGAATTGTGCTTATATAGCTTTCCTTTATTAAATAATGCTACAGTCTGATCTTTGGGGATGTCTGTGGTGAAGTCATTATAGAGGTGTTCCACATATTCTCTATCTATGTGGACAAATGACAACAAAAAGTAATGTAGATGCACAGTAGTATGAGTTGGGTAAAAGTAAACAGTTAATACAACACAATGAAGCAAGGAGGCACTATGAATCCATTTATAGACAAATTGATAATCTTTGCTCTCTTTTTCTCACACAAACAACAACAAACTGTTCATGATACCCACTATCTGCCATTTTCCTCATTAACTATTTTTTCTCTAACAGAGAAAATTCAAGATTTTGAATATTTTACGTTTACAAAGCTTTTTATTATCTCAAAAATTAAGGCAGCACGTACAAAATCCTCGAAAAATAATTAAAGTCTCTTTCCCAGAGTTACATTTTTTTTGTTTTCCCAGATGGCTGGCATGTTTCTGCTGTATGTCATTTGACCTGATCATTGAGCCAGTTTCTCAAAGTTTCCAAGTTTCTCTGAATCCATCTGATGTTTTTCTTCATATTGTCTAGGGCAAGCTGCGTTGCTCTAAGCTGGGAGGCTTGCTCTTTAATGGATTCAAAGAAATGTTCCACCTGAGGAAAAACACAGACATAAAGAGAAAATAAATTACTACATAATAAGTATTATTATAATATTGTAATATTTTCATTGCTAAGGTAAATTATTCAAAATGTTTGAATAAGTTAAATAGAGGCAGATGTCAACTTTAAAATAAACACACAAATCTTCAATGATTAAAGTATAAATTTACTTCAGTTAGCTCCTCAGGAGATGAAAACTGCCCTGTGGTCCCAATAATCATGCTCCTGATGCAGGATGAGCCTAACTGGAACCTGCATGTGTGAAAAAATGGAGGACAATTTTTAGAAATACAAAAACCAGGACTGTTGAAATAAACCCAATATTTGCTCCAAAAATCTTCGGATGAAATCTTAAGGGTGCTCTGATGGTAAGAGGCCGTTCATCAGAGAGACCTTCAAAAGCTTTCATATTTATAGACTTAAATATGCTGATATTTTAAAAATGAGTCATTCTTACTTTTCAACCAGGGAGTCCCAGTTCTTTTTGACAAAGTTCCAGGCGAGATCGTATCCCTTTGGGTTCCGAGCAACCATCCAAACCACGTAGGATAGGTCCTGTGATCGGATCACCTTCCCTTCCAGACCAATCGCCAGCAGCCTGCAAAATTAATACATACAATAACACATACTTACACAACGGATTTTCTTTACCATTTATGTCCACAATTGTGCTGTTTTTTTGTTTTTTTTCATTTCACAGTTTGTCTTTTACAAACCAAGGCAGCTGCACTGTGATACACATAATAATTTTTGCCACATAATGGTAATACCATGTCTTAGAATAAATTATCCTCCAGCACCTTTTGAGCTTGTCTGGGTCTTTGCTGGTTGCCAAAGCAAAAATAATCATTTTTTTCTGTGCTTCAGAGAGGGAAATCTTGTACAAGTTCAGAAGCGAGATCCAGCCGTGGTCATCCTGTGCTCCCACAGAGAAAATGGTCTCTGCCACATCAGTAGGTAAACTATAGTAAACACAGGACGTGATGTTAGACTCAGTGACATATAAAGTATGCAACCCATTCTTTCAGAGGATAGATGATATGGAAACGTAACATCAACAGGGAATTAGTCAATCATATTCCCTCACCTCAATACAATTAGCAATTTAAACATAGTTAAGATGAAACTATACACACTAACAAAGCCCCTTTGGGGTTAAATGGAACAAGTGAATCACAAAAATCCCATAACTACTTTTTAAAACTATCCTATCATTATGGACAAAAATCTCTAAGAAATGTTTCTGACACCTTGTTGAGTCTATCTAATAAATTAGAACTTTCCTGAAGGTACTATCAAAATGTATCATAAAATGAAAATTAAAAGTAAAATTATATTTATTAAAATGTGATTCAAACAGACTTCAATGTTCCATTGGAATGGAGCCAGTCTTTAAAGAGTTGATTTGCACGCTCCAGACAAGGCGGGTATTCCAGGTGACAGGCCAGAGACAGGACCTCCGACCTCAGNCCACCGTCTGCCTTTCTTACCTGCGGCGTTGCTGTCAAACAGATCCATGGTGATTTCTCTCAAAGCCCCCCTTCTTTCCTAAAGGATCTGAAAAAGACTCCGAACCTCCAAGGACGTCTGATTGAGACGATGTTTACAGGTTTACCCCCCAAACAACAACCAGCTCACAGTTTATCAGCAGCCTCCCCTCAGACTAAAACAGCCAGAGCAGCATTCAGAGGGCTAATGTTAGCCACTGACAGCTTCAATCGTCATGATTGGCCTGTGTAAATAAACGGAGTATATTTGTCTGTATTTCAATTCCGGCAACTAAAAAACATAAGAGACAATTTTAGTCCAACATATGGTGCTAACGGGAGTTAAAATAAATGATCATTTTCTTCTTCTCTGGACCAGTTGTTGACAACGTTTCGCCAAGTTAGAAAGCGAACATCCGATTGGATGATGCTAACGGGGGGCGGGGCGACTCGGAAGAAATATCCAGCTAATAATCCCCTGTTGAACTTTAGCTGATAACAGTATCAGACATCCCAAGTTTCAAAAACCCATTTTCAGGGAGATGCTTATCCAGCCGTTTAAACACAACACCAATAGCACAGCAGACAGTGGTACTTTTAATTACTATGTTAATAACTGTGTTTAGTTCATTAGACGGTTGGTAAAAAAAACAAAACTCATATAATATGTTTCAAACCGCAATAAAGATCTTGATACCCAGAGAGAACCAGGGGAGAACATGCAAACTCCATGCAGAACGAGCCAGGCCAGGAATCGAACCCGGATCTTCTTGCTGAAAGTGAGCAGCAAGAAGCCCCTCCTTAAACCATTTTATTTAAAAATCACGTTTCCTCTTTACTTTTTCATCAATCTCTTATTGGACTATCTAGTTTTGTCTGATTTGTTAACCACCTAACCCAAACGAACACCCAGAGGAAAATTATGGTTGAAATTAGAAACATCTGGAACACCAGCTGTAATTTTTGCAGTGAATCCAGTTTTACAGAAGAAATGACTGAGTGGGAATTAACTAAGACATTAGAAATTGAACCAAATTAGAAAATTAGAACTAACCAACTATTAGTGTGGTTAAATGTGTAGATTGTGTATAAGTAATTTTATTTGTGTGATTAAGAAAACAATCTACATAGGAATCGATATTGTCCACCCAGTTTGAGTAAAAAAAAAGAAAAAAAAAAAAAAGAAAGAAATACTCAACTAATGAAAGAGCTAGCTTTCATGCCCATTATAACTGAAGGGTTACTTAAAAAAAAAAAAAAAAAGTAAACACACATCACAAAGACTGAAAATATGATATTTACAACCAAATACGGAAGCTAACACAATATAAACAAAGGTGCAAGGAGGTAAAGTGAATTTATTATCAACTTGGTTTCTCTCTGTCATACAGATGCAAAATGACAACAAAGTTCTCAACCTCCCATCCCCAATTTTTATCAATCACATTATTTCCCTATTTCATGTAAAAAAAAAAAAAAACAAAGCCACACAAATGACACACTCACAGTAATTTGTAAAATGTCCATTTTGTGTTTTTATAACAACCTTGTTCCTGTCTTTTTGCTGTCTGTCATTTCATTTGCTCATTCACCCAGATTCTCAGTGATTCCAAGTTCCTCTGAACCCAACGAATATTTTTGTGCACGTTGTCCAAAGCAAGCTGTGTTGCTCTCAGCTGAGAGGCCTGCTCTTTAATGGTTTCAAAAAACTGCTGCACCTGTAAGACAAAATACACTCTTTTGAGAGCAAAAAAACGCATCAGTTTACAAAATACTAGCACACAGCAGTGAGGACTTAAGTACAGCTAGATTTTGGTATAAAATCAGCCCTTTTATGGGGTCAAGTTTGGCTGAGGTCCATTTAATTGTAAAATTAGCTATGATATACCTTTTCCTAAATCGTAACAATTCTAATACACTGTAATTTGATTTTGTTTAGAATAAATTCATATCAATGATGTTAACCTACAAAGTTTTAAATGCATCACCTCCTTTCTATATGAATACTCCAGAAAATGTGCATGATTCTGTCACTGCATGTGTTAAGGGCTTTAAAGACCCAAAGTCTATCCATATGTCGTTCTTCGACTTGGAATGATCTACTGAGCACCGACAGGACAGATTTAATCATGTCTTTTTTCAAGGAAGTGTTGAAGACCAACACTTCAGGTTGGCTAACTGCATTTCCATTAAGTAGCTCATTCTTAATTTAGATATACACCACAGTATGATATCCTCATTTGTTGGTTGCATTGGATAAAAGCATCTGTCAAGGGCATAAACATGGTAAAAAACATTTTTTTTTTACACATAAACGGTATGATGAATGTGTCAATTTACATCTGTGAGCTCCTCTGGAGATGAAAATTTTCCTGTTGTTCCCATAATGATGTTTCTGATGCAAAATGAGCCTAACTGGAACCTAAATGTGAGAAAGAAACAGGAAAAAAATCCAGAAAACTCAAAGTGCTGCTTGTGATATAATGAATAGCTCTACAGTTGATACTGAAAATATTACTATGACTGCTAGAAAAAACTACAAACCACTTTTACAGTGAATATGTACTGCCATACAATGATATCATGCTACAACACTTATTTAGACTGACTTCTCAACCAGTGTGTCCCAGTTCTTTTTGACAAAATTCCAGGCCAGGTGATGTCCTCTTGCGTTTCTGGAGATCATCAAAATAAGATGGGAGAGGTCCTGTGATCGGATTACGTTTCCTTCCAGACCCATTGCCAACAGTCTGGAACATAAATAAATAAATCTACATTATTTCTGTAATGTACTGTGATGTAATTAATCTTTTGCCATGATGGCTTTACTATCTATTAAGAAAAAAACTGGGAAAAGGTCTCAAGGCACCTGTGCAGTTTGTCCTTGCTTTTGCTGCTTGTCAAAGCAGAGAGGATCTTGTCTTTTTGGGCATCAGAAAGGGAAATCTTGTACGTGTTTAAAAGGGATGTCCAGCCGTGTTCATCCTGCGCTCCTACGGCGAACACTGTCTCTGCCACATCAGTAGGTAAGCTGCAGTAACAAGAATGAGAGATGCTAATGTTATAGACCCAATAATGCATCAAAGCATGTACCGTAATCTTTACTCTCAAAGGATTACATGTTTAGCATTGTTATTTTTTTAAGTTTGTCCCTGCAGGCTTATAAGGATGCATGTAAAGATGTGATTGAAACAGACTTCAATGTTCCGTTGGAATGGAGCCAGTCTTTAAAGAGTTGATTTGCACGCTCCAGACANACTTTCCTGAAGGTACTATCAAAATGTATCATAAAATGAAAATTAAAAGTAAAATTATATTTATTAAAATGTGATTCAAACAGACTTCAATGTTCCATTGGAATGGAGCCAGTCTTTAAAGAGTTGATTTGCACGCTCCAGACAAGGCGGGTATTCCAGGTGACAGGCCAGAGACAGGACCTCCGACCTCAGACGTCGCTCAGACACAGTGCCGCTGTCACTCCATGTCTGCTGGTCAATGACAGCTCCGAAAAACTGCAGGATGTACTTCTGCTCAGAGGCAGAGAAACAGCAATTCACATTCAAGACAATGTCAGAATAAAATACTTTTTAGGAAATGCTTTGATGTGCTGCTCTCTTACTCCCAGGTTCATTGTTAAAAGGGGCTCATCCATCCTCTCAGTCATGTGGTAAAAAAACTGCAGATATCCCAGTCCTTCAAGGAGTGGTACTGTGTGTTTCTCTAGTTGTACATAACCAATCAATTCCAAGGCTTTGGTAAGTTTGAGATGGCCCGCCCTTTACAAGGATAGAAAATTACATCCTTACTTTCTTGCAGAAATATAGAAGCATTTCTTATGCAACATTATCACTTACGTGACCAGCTGAAATGCATTGTGTATCAAGTGGGTCCTGTCCTTGTAGCTCAGAGCAGTGTGGTTTTCCCTCAGTAATTTTACTATCACATCCCAGCCATCATCAGCATAATGAACCACATAATAACCAGTCATATCAGAATTCACTTTCACCCAACTAACTTCTTCTCCGATGTGTATGCTGTCTAATAAACAAAACAGCATAAAACAGTTGGATTATCAGAAAGCAAAGCTGAAAATGGTAGATGGTAAATGGTCACAGGTCTTACCTGTGGGAGAAGTCATCAGATGTCTGTGGATGGTGTTGGACGTGTCAGTCTTATATGTCAGAGGAATATGCCAAAGGAAACTATTTAAAAACAAAAGTGTGTATAAAAGCTAAAAATGTGTTCATTTCAAAAATTGGACCAAAAGTTTGAAAGGACCATTAAGTTACTAATACTTGTGAATTTACCCTTGTTGCACAGCAGCCCACTGAGGATCAGAGGGAAGAACCGTCCTCAAGAACCGATTCTGCCTAAGCAGCAGTCGGGGCCCTTTTCTGCTCACAGTAACCAAAGGAATCCCTTTCTGTAGAGTCCAAGTGTTCATCATGGCTGTCAGGTTCAGGTGTTCCCCTGCAAACAGATACTGCAGGACGACATTAAACATCAGCACTTGCAAACCATATTGTTTGAATGTTTTGACATCAGGAGAGCGAGTGAGGTTTAAATATTTTACTCACTGCATTCTTAGAGGCCTGGTCACTGCTGTAACAATGTTTTCCTGAGGTGAAGTCATCTTCTGAGCATGTCTGGAAGATTAGAGAGGTTTCTCTCTTTTTAAAAAATATTTGACTTTGTTTGATTCTATCCATTTACACCACATGCAGGTGTTTACTTATTAAAATGGCTGATAATAAAGGCGTAAAAAATGGTAAAATCAATGTTAGCACAAGTGACCTGTTGTGTAACAGTGTATTTTAAAGACCCCCCAAAAAATAAATAAATAAAATAAAATTGAAAATTAAAATGAAAGTGAAAATAAAGGAAGTATAATGTACCAAAGCACATACAGTGTTTATGTGGCCACAAATATCCAATTTCAGAAATGTTCTCAGCAGCTTGATCCTTGTTTCTCAAAACCTGATAGAAGTAAGTAATGATCCCTATCCCTAAAACTGATTTTGAAACAAAGAAATTGCAAAAAAAATATATATATATCTGTTCATCCAAGCAACCTTCAATTATCTAAACCACTTTTCATTGGTGTTCTGGTGCCAAATCCAGCAGTAATGTTTTTGGGATAACAGGATAAAACAGTGGCACACAGGACAATGCACCATCACACACTCAAACCTAAGAACAATACAAACTGAGCAACTTAAAAAACTCTCAGAGTTAACTGATTTGGGCCATGGCAAGCTAAGAGCAAGCTCTGATAAAGAATCTGAAATAATTAGATTACAGTTGCAGGTCAGAAAACCATAGTGTGCTAATTCCTCTGCTCAAAAAAGCACACTAATGTATTCATGACATGTTAATGGGTTTCTTTGATTTACTGGTTAAAAAAAAAAACTATGGTATAATATTATCTTTTTAACTTTCAAAAAAAAAATCTCAGTAATGCTGTTACCATATTTTCAGTGCACAACATCAATATTAGATATTAATGCCAAGGCTGGTAAGATGTCTTTGATTCTATGGTGCAGTGTTGGTTCCAAAAGTAAGAGCATTGCCCACTCAGCTTGGCACCAATACTGCACCATACATGATTCTACCACCTGAAGTTTTTACTTCGATAGTCTGGGCTTAATTTAAAGCACAAGAATCTTGTACTGACTATAAAAGATACTGCTGATCTGAACCAAGGTTCCTGTATTTTTTTTCTATTGTGTGATTTTTTTAAAATATATTTCTCACGTGTCATCCTTAAATACCTAATATTATCTGATAAAAATTTTGTTGTTAATTGTTGCACTGATTTGTTTAAAGCAACAAAAGGTGCTGAGAATATTTTATCACAACAAAATGTATTGATAAAAGCTGAAAAAACATATTAGAAGGAAAGCAAAGCAAGCCAGATTTATAATATCTGGAAGGTGAAGAAATATAAATCCATTTGAAGTTCAAATGTTGTCCAGATAAATAATTATGTCCATTCCATTTTGGAATAATGAATTAAAAATAGTGAGAATGCAACCATAGCAGACCACACAAATCTTGCTCCCTGTAGCTACAACTTTGAAAAATGTATCGCACAGCTTCATTAAATGGTTTGTTTAACAGGAAACCTTGTTAACATTTCAAAATGCTGGAGAAAGATTACAGGATCTCTTACATTGGCAAGGCTGTCCCACAGGTCCTGATTTTGGGCATTTCCGTAACTGTGCTTGCGAAGGTATCGTACTATCCCACTCTGAANTTGGAATGGAGCCAGTCTTTAAAGAGTTGATTTGCACGCTCCAGACAAGGCGGGTATTCCAGGTGACAGGCCAGAGACAGGACCTCCGACCTCAGACGTCGCTCAGACACAGTGCCGCTGTCACTCCATGTCTGCTGGTCAATGACAGCTCCGAAAAACTGCAGGATGTACTTCTGCTCAGAGGCAGAGAAACAGCAATTCACATTCAAGACAATGTCAGAATAAAATACTTTTTAGGAAATGCTTTGATGTGCTGCTCTCTTACTCCCAGGTTCATTGTTAAAAGGGGCTCATCCATCCTCTCAGTCATGTGGTAAAAAAACTGCAGATATCCCAGTCCTTCAAGGAGTGGTACTGTGTGTTTCTCTAGTTGTACATAACCAATCAATTCCAAGGCTTTGGTAAGTTTGAGATGGCCCGCCCTTTACAAGGATAGAAAATTACATCCTTACTTTCTTGCAGAAATATAGAAGCATTTCTTATGCAACATTATCACTTACGTGACCAGCTGAAATGCATTGTGTATCAAGTGGGTCCTGTCCTTGTAGCTCAGAGCAGTGTGGTTTTCCCTCAGTAATTTTACTATCACATCCCAGCCATCATCAGCATAATGAACCACATAATAACCAGTCATATCAGAATTCACTTTCACCCAACTAACTTCTTCTCCGATGTGTATGCTGTCTAAAAAACGAAACAGCATAAAACAGTTGGATTATCAGAAAGCAAAGGTGAAAATGGTAGACCTTCACACAGGATGATATTTAATCTCTTACCTGTGGGAGAAGTCATCAGATGTCTGTGGATGGTGTTGGACGTGTCAGTCTTATATGTCAGAGGAATATGCCAAAGGAAACTATTTAAAAACAAAAGTGTGTATAAAATAAAAAAATGTGTTCATTATAAAAATTGGACCAAAAGTTTGAAAGGACCATTAAGTTACTAATACTTGTGAATTTACCCTTGTTGCACAGCAGCCCACTGAGGATCAGAGGGAAGAACCGTCCTCAAGAACCGATTCTGCCTAAGCAGCAGTCGGGGCCCTTTTCTGCTCACAGTAACCAAAGGAATCCCTTTCTGTAGAGTCCAAGTGTTCATCATGGCTGTCAGGTTCAGGTGTTCCCCTGCAAACAGATACTGCAGGACGACATTAAACATCAGCACTTGCAAACCATATTGTTTGAATGTTTTGACATCAGGAGAGCGAGTGAGGTTTAAATATTTTACTCACTGCATTCTTAGAGGCCTGGCCACTGCTGTAGCAATGTTTTCCTGAGGTGAAGTCATCTTCTGAGCATGTCTAAATAAATATATTCTTCTTTTTTATTAAATATTAAACTTGGATATGAAATATACTGGTCCAATATTAACTAACATTGTTCTATTTTTTTCATATTTTTCTTTTCATTTTTGTGTCAAATGCTAAGGCAGAACAACAAACTCACTTTGTCCTCTTGTTACTATAAATGTGAAAGATGCACTGCACAGCTTTACAATGCTTCTTTATTAAGATGTTCCCTAATGTAATCTAAGGTCTGAGAAAAAAACATAGTGTCTTACATTTGACAGGCTGTCCCACAGGTCCTGATTGTTAGCATTTCCGTAGCTGTACTTGCGTAGGTATCGCACAGTCCCGCCCTGAAACACCTCTTCAGTCAGAAAATGCCTTAGCATGTGGAGGACACATGCTCCCTAGAAAAAAATTGTAGCTGTTAACTATGAGAGGTAAAGAAGATGTACTGATTTCTCCTAGTGTGTAAAAAATATCTTATTATGTGAATTTTGTGTCTGCAACCTCAATTTAGGGCCTATCAATTATGATCAAAATAGAGAGCTTGTACCTTGTCATAGGAAACTGTGTCAAACATCTCTTCAATCTGAGTGGTGCTCTCTGCAGGGCTGGATATAGGCCGGGAGGAGTTCAATGAATCAAGACCAAATGCTGCAAAACATGTGTGCAGTTGATACTCTTCCTGCCAAAACACATCACATCTGAATATCAAACATCTCCATGTAGCTTTTATGGATATATTTACAATGATTAAAGTGCATACAACTTGGAGATCAGGGTAAGTGGCCTCCACTGAAATGTATTCCATGTATCTAGCAAATCCTTCATTTAGCCAGATGTCGTTCCACCAATCCATGGTCACCAAGTTCCCAAACCACTACAGTGCAAACAAAAGAACTTTAGCTCTAAGTCTTTGTCTAAATCTAGGGCATTTAGAGTAGAATTGTGAGATAATGATCTGAATGCCTTATTGAGCTGAACTTTTTTTTTTACCTGATGGGCAAGTTCATGTCCAATGACCATTGTAACCCAGAGTTTATCAGAGATGGAGGACGTGAGGGGCTCATAGAGAAGGCTGGTCTCTCTATAGGTAGTCAGGCCCCAGTTCTCCATTGCGCCAACCTGAAAATCTGGGATGGCAATTAGATCTGCAAGAGGATGAAAAAGTAATGAAGAGTAGAGGGTAAAGACTAGACACAAGACATAAGAAAGGAAATTAATGTAACCTTGTTTGGGTAAAGGATAGCGAATGTTGAAGTACTCCTCATAGAAGTCCAGCATTTTAACTGCAACCTCCAAAGCATAGTGAGTTTGCTTCCACTTCTCAGGCGCAGCATAGATGGAGACCTATAGAAAAATCAAAACCAGTGATGAACCAAAATTCAGGGTTGAGAAAGTTATAGTCAAGTAAAAAAGTGACGGCAGTTTAGCAAACCGTGAAGACCTCACCTTGACCCCTGATGATGTTGTTGCACTGACAGACTTGAAGTCACAAACGATGAAAGCTACAAGGTACGTGCTCATTGTTACGCTCGGGGCAAACTGATCTTCAAAAAGCTCGCCGCTCAGTGGTGTAGTTTTGATCTGAAACCCAGAGGAACGCTGAGGATTTTTCTTTTATCAATGTATGAAATGTATGCAGCGCCTTTCAAAGATGCAGCACTCACTACTGGCATGTTGGAGAGAGAAATGTACTCTGGGCTCCTCCTGATCCGCACAGAGAAATTGGCTTTGAAGCTTGGCTCGTCGAAACAAGGAAATGCCATTCGAGCGCTTGTGGGTTCAAAGTGAGTGGAAGCTAGGTTTCTGTAAATAGATAGTAGCACAGTGGTGGCAGAAGGTGTGTGTTGGATAATGTTTACAGGATGGCTAAAAAAAACAGGAAACTTGCTCTTACCTGATCTCTCCTTCACTGGTTCTGTAGGTGCTCTTATAGAATCCATAAAATCCATCTGCCAGCTCTGCTTCAAACTCTATATACAAGAAATACTTCTGCCCACTGCTGAGAACCCTGGGAGAAAAAATGCCTATTTGCTCGTGGGAAGGGTTGTGAAGAACTGGGAGAACCTAAAACAGAAAAGGATTGTCAAGCTGATAAGTGACAGAAAAAGCCCCCCTTGTACTAGTAACTACCTGATCAGATACATGAGCAAGGTCAGGATCTAAAATTGTGGCCTTGGAGATTTGAAGACCCTTGCTGTGTAAAACAACCCAGTTTGTATTGTTGTGGACATCAATCTGAATCTGCACTGAGCCCGTGAACCTGAGAGTTGTGAGGTTAGGGTGCAGGAGAAGGTGGTAGTGAAGAGGAACAATATACCTGAAACACAGAAACATGACAGTTAATTCATCAATGAGTCAAAACACAGATATCTGCGTTTTTTGTTTTAATCTGACCGTATGTGTTCAGTACCTTGGCAGGCGAAGGCGACTCCAGGGGAAAGACAGATTACCATCAGCCAGAGGTGGCTGTTCTCCAGTAGAACTAGGAGGGTTTGTTGCCTGCTCTGAGGTCTGGGACCCAACCAGAAACACCTTGACAGCCAACAGCACTAATAACCCTACTGGAATCATTGCAAAGGGAATGACTTTGCAATGATTCAATAAAATGACTCAGTATGTGACCAACTCTAAGCACTCAGCTCTTTTAACTATAACCTGAATGTTGAAGTCAGTTGCAGCAACCACTCAACATTAATTATGAAAATAAAATGACTACTCTTCTGGGATTCTTCTTTTGAACCTGAAAGACAAGAAACAAAATCAAGCATAAAAAGTCTAACATCTGTGTATTCATTGTTTCTTTGCATAAAATAATTTTATTGCAGGTTTGAATATAAGCAACCTCTTTTCTCAAACTATTCTAGAAGACAGTCTGGGAACTGAACTTGAACGGCAGCTAAATTATTCTGATGTAGTTATACATCCATTTATGAAATCCTACTTTTGTAAAGTAGAAAACAGAAGCCTTTTTAATAGAATTGAATGACTCCTGTTCACTTTAACTATTATACCATTGTTTTATTCCTGCCACTGCTAAAACATTTTCTCTCCTTTTTCTTTCTCAAAAAAATTTTTCTGACAGAGGAATTTTGTGTGCATCTGCAAATGGAGTCGTTGACAAAGATATTGCTACTCATGGCTGTGTAATTATTGCTTTATTTTTCTCACAGGAAGAAAAACTGCCTCTAAACCTTTATGTTTAGCAGTGGCTCTATCCTGGACAGAGTCAGTATATTTAGTCAGTTATCTTCTGTAAACTTCCTTTCAGTGAATTGTATTAGTTTAGCAGCATCTTGTTCCTAGATAAAGCCAGTAACAGAGATACAGTATTTGTTCTTTTCTGTGCTGCTTCTTGTACAATAGTCTACCTCCTCCATAAAACATACGGTACTCATGGCCAGTGGTTCCCTGTTTTTTTTATCTTGTTTCTGTCTCCTTAACATGTCTGAATCCTTCCGTTAACAGGGAGTTTTTACTTCCCACTGTCACCACATGTTTGCTAAGAATGGTTTTATACTCTAAAACTGACCTGTTGGAGCTAAATAAGACTTTATGCCATATAACTGGTTTCTGTTACCAGAAAATAAACAGATTTTTTGGGACATAAAACACTTTCTTTGTATATTAATATAACTGCAGCTATCGAATGAATTATCAAGTCAGTGTCCAAAATAAAGAGGCTAAATTATTCCCATGGAGCAGGTGGAGTAAACCTGCTAAGAATAACTAAGCCATACAGAGCACATGCTTAGTTAATTCTGGCACACAGCAGACCTATTTCTTTAGAGGAGTCAAACATGTGAGCATAAACAAGACAGCCTTCATCATGTGGTCAGAAAGAAAGAAGTGGACTGTAGGTGACAGCAGCTGCCGGAGCACAGCTATAGTTCAAACCAGGCTCCAGGAACATTCTTAAAGCTGCACTGTGCCAGACATATTATTTATGCACATATTTACTGAATCTAAGATACCCTACAACCTAAAAACATTGTTAGAGATGATCTAGACTATAGCTCTATATCTGATGTGGAAAATTTCAACTATTACAAAACAAGCATTACCTCGATCACTTTAGCTTCATCATGCTTCCTTGATCATCCTGCTTTTCAGTTTCGCTTTCCCTTTTAAGATGCCGCCCACTGAAGATTAAAAAAAAACTGCTCAGATTAGTTTGTAGGTGTGTGTCCACTAGAAAGAGGTGAGATAGTGACTTAAGATGATAGGATACAGACAAGAATCTTTTATTATAACTTAATGAAGAATACATTGTGAGCAACGTGTCCAAATTGGTTCATATATTTATTACTTTATAGAAGTGTGTGTGTCTCTGTGTGCAGGTGCTACTGATATCATCTTACCTCAGTGTAACAGCCAAACACAGGTGGGTCTCCAGTTGCCAGTGTTATTCCTAATGCCTTCCTTACTTTCCTGTAGTTTTAAGGAATCCCATAAAACGTTTCACACTTTGTCTTTCTCTCTCTTCCCTCTGTGTTTCTGGGTGTTAGAGTTTCCCCGTGTGTTGTGAGGGTGTAAGGGGTTTCCATTGTTAGTAAGGTCACAACAATGAGACATGCCAATCCCCCACAATGCAATGCTCCTGGCAAAGCCCTCTTTTTAATGCAATCACACACAAGGTACACAAACACGCACAAAACTCACACACATGTACAGTAAACACTGAACAGGGCTTGTGAAAGTCAGAGTAACTGCAGGGTAGAAATGGCGGAGCCACCCAGGGGACTTATTTATCTTCCCATTATCTATCTATGGACTGGTGAGAGCTTTAACTGTCCTTCTTATTTTGTAAAGAGGGAAAGTATGCAAAATTATTTTTGTTACAGGAAAATAAGCCTCTATTGGGATTCTGCTCAATTTGCTTGGATTTGTTTATTATATTTTCACTCTTTATGGTACTTTACTACCAACATTTTAAATATTTTTATTGTTTTTAGAAAAAAAAAGTTGATGCATAACGATGCTTAGAGATATCACAGTGCTCCTATTTTATAGCCTCTGCTTTGCCTAATTTTTCATTGTAGAATTGATTTTAAGGTGCTCTGAATTATGTTTGAAATAACTTAATTTGTATTAGCTGTACAATTATGTCAGATTTTCTTTTAGAGTACCAGACATCAATAATTCTAAATGAAAATTAGGGTTAAGGCTACTTTTTTTTTTGGGGGGGGGGGACAGCATTACTGAAGATCTGACAGCAAAATAGACTAAGACTTCAAAAAGAAAACCTAAGACTTATTTGTTTGGAATTTTACATTTAGTCATTTCAAACAAAACTTTCCTACTTTAACATCAAGTATTTATTTTCCTCTATTGCTATTATTTATTTAAATTCCACTTATAATTAGAATTGTTTTTTAATTTGTGACACCCTTTTCATGACCTTTCATCTATGAATATCATATTTTTGACTACCTTCAATGTCCCCAGTCTTATCCTCAATGCATTTGTTTTTCTACAGTCTTGCAAACAACCTTCACCTCTGCTAAAACTCTTTTTTTATTGTCGTTGTTTATTTGTTAAGCTCCTGATTTTTTTGCCATACCATGTTTCTGTTTTCCTCTGTTTGGCTCTTTGAAATTCATTAAATAACTGATTCTCTCATTTATTTTCTTATTAATGTGTTTGAGCATGTATACCACCAATTCTTGCTGTTTCTTTCAGTGTCCAACTTTTCTAAGTTTACTTATAAAACTTTTTAATATGATTTTTTCTACTGTTCTTGTTGCAGGAGCGGTTGAGGGTAATCTGCTGGCTTCTCTTGCTCCACCGGTCCACCTAACAGGGGAGAAGCTTGGCTTGACACTGCTGGTCTGTGTGGTGAGCGACTTCAGGAGAGGCCACCTGGAGATCAACTGGAGGTCAGCCTCTGATGAGGGCTACAGCTACGCCAGTCCATACAACGGTGCTGTGACCAGGAAGCATCGTGGTCACAGTGCTGTGGCGATCATCACCGTAGTCACCAGTAACTGGCCATCTTACAGCTGCTCAGTGCGACGGAGGAAACACTCAAGAGCCAAAAAATTGCACAACATCGCCTCTACAGGTAATGATCAGAGTCTGAATTTATTTGTCATGAATTTGATTCAACAGCACTTAAGTTAGCTGATAATCCTTCTACTATTCTTAAAGCTGATGCTGAAATGTGCAACAACGATAATGAAGAAAGAGAAGGTATAGCATTTTTAAATGACCTCAATGAAAAATTGTCAGTTTGTAAAGCAGATTCTACTTGCTGACATGTGTGTTTATTTACAGCTCTTGCAGTGAGGACGAACATTGTGGTGGTGATGTGTATGAGGCTCCTTCTAATGAAGATAATAGTCTTTGATGCACTAATGACTGTTTATGTTATTAAATGGTAAGAGTGATTCATTAAATAGGACGCTATAACAAAAAAAATCAACAAAATACATCAGATCTTATGGAAAACAGCAGAACATTTCATCAGTGATCACCCAGTTGAAGATAGAAGTTTCCAGCTTTTTTGCTTTAATAAACGTATTCTTAATTTATTCAATACCATAAAATTAAAACTGGTCAGAGTCCTGGAGCTGGTTACTGATGGAGGTGATTTTGCCTTGACATTTAAGTAGTCATTTTTCAAGATACCAGAACCAAAGAAAGTGGGTCTCTATGTACTGTATGTACATTTAACCATTTTAGCATTAGGACATATCTACTTTATAGGTTCATTATGGTTGAGTTTGAATATGTTTTACTTTTCTTAGAAAATAGGAATAGATCCCAAATAATTAGATGGGAAATTTGAGCAAATAGGCAAATGAAAAAAATTAAAGCAAAAACTAGTATTTCTTCAAAATGAGGTGGATGTTAACAGGTTAAATTTTAACTACTGAAACTGAACTTTTATTCACTAACTGCAACTAAAAAACCTAATATGTCAATAAAAGAGGAAATACGTTTATATATTAAGAACAAATCTTAACAAAATGTTTGTTTTTTTTTTAGATTTCTTGAAAGGAAGAGCTCTGGATGCTGAACATGATGGTATAAAGAATATTGAGCAACTGAAGCTTCTTCTTTTGTCAACTCTGAGATGGTTTATACTCCCGAAGATGAAAGGAGCTCTCCCATCCTTTATGGTTGACCTCTAGAAGTTGGTTTTGCAGAGAGCTTTGGTAAAAGCTAAAGGAGTCAGAGAAATAATCCTCAAGTACTTACCGCTCTGAACTGGTAGTGGCGCCTTTTTTGGGGGGTTTTATTTCAAATTCCAGGTGTCGCCGACTGTGGCAGTTGAAAAAGACTGTTTGTGAGGCCAAGTCTGATGGTATCTGATTAAGACATAACGGCACACAGGTGGATCAATGCTTGTAAATTTCACATACTTTTAAAGATGCTTGTGGAGCTCTGGTACTGTATTTTGTTTTGATACATTTATTTTAAAAGACATATAGGAAATGGCAAAATACAATTTAAGGTAATTACCAGTTCCATTTCAGACATTTAAATAACCAATTATTCACTGCTTTTTAATTTTTTTTATACTTATACCCATAAACAGCGATTGAGGCGTGGACTTTGACTGGGCCATCCCAACACATGATTATGCTTTGAACCAAATTATTTTATTGTTTTCAGCTCTGAGTGTTTTTACTGTCATTGTCCTGTTTGAAAATCATCTCTAGCCCAATTTTTTTTATTTTTATGGTCTAACAGCTTTTCTTCTATAACTGGAGATTCTTACACCCCATGATCTCTGACCAGGTCTCTTAGCTCTGCTGAATGCATCGCTGGGCTGCAGTATGATGCTACGGCCATGATCTATATTCAGAATGGGTGCCGGGTTTTTTTTTTAACCCTAGAATTTGTTAAGCAGTATTGAAATAACTGGGGCAAATATAAAATAAAATAAGTAGTTGTTTTAAAATACATTTTCCCTCAACAATAAGATGTATCATTTTGAATATAAAATTCCAATGAAATGTATAGATTTTGTGGTTGCATCGTGATAAACTGAGAGTAGTTCACATTGTTTGAAAATTCTATAAACTATAAACTGCTGTGTTTATTGGCACAAGCTGTAAGATTCATTGAAATATAAATGCAAAAAAGAGAATTTATAATGCAAAAAAGAGAATTTATAATGCAAGATAAAATGTCTAGTTTATATCGCTACTGCAGTCATTTGAGCATAACAGTTTATTTTAAGGAAATAATGTTCCATATATGCTAGTGTTTAATTGTTTAAAATTTCACTTGTCTTCCTCTAAACCATTTTATCAACAAGTGGGTTGTCAATTGTTGCACTGACTCTAAAAGAGCATTTGTGAATTTATTTCATCTGCATATTTGACATTTTAAATTGATAAAACGTTTTTTGTACTCATTCTTAATTTTTTTTTTCTTTTCTATATATTTCTGTCAGTTACGTTTTCACCAGTAATAAGGTAATGACCCATTTAATCATTATTTACATACTTTTTCAACCAAATATATTTTTATTACTATTTGAATAACTGTGTTAATTAATGTTTTACTTCTACTTTAGTAAAAATGTCCCAAAGTAATGCTACTCTTACCTAAATACAAAAAAGGCTTCTCCTAAACACAAGAGAAAATGTTTTTTTTTTTACATTTAGTGTAACTTATTTTTAATACATTATTGTTTTAGAAATTAATCTATTGTGATTTAAAGTTTAAAACTTGTTTTACATCAACTATGAAGTACTGTAGAGAAAATTGTTCTGCAAAGCTTAATGTGACATTTTTTTTATGGACTGCAATGGTTAAGTTTAGCATGACATTTAACACATGACCAGTTCAGCAGCCTTATATGACTGTTAGTATATTACCTGTTAAATAACACATGAGTGTTTGGACTTCTTTCTGTTTAAATAAAAGACCAGCACACACTTTAATTCCTCCATTCTTGTTTTTTTTTTTTAGTCTTTTGAGCGCTTTTAGTAACACAGTAACATAGCAAGGGAGCACCACTAGGTGGCAGCACAATCACATCTGACATTTTTATTTAAATAATTATCCAACAACAAGAATATGAAGCTTAACTTCCCCTAAAGGACACTACGTTCATAAATAAGTTAAGGTATTTCATCACTAACCAGTCACTCTTCACCAAACCGACACTCACATGATGAAAGAAGATCACACAATAGCTAAAACTAAAGCAGATCGAACCAACTGGGAATAAATATACAGAATGGTACATGTTCCATAGGGTAGAAATTTCTACAAGGCATTGATTCCCACATCACAGTGCTTATGCTGACACATTTCAATAAGATACTTTTTAACCTCCAATATTTCACTTTTATCTCAGTATGAAACACCGGGCCAAAAATTAAGCTGGTTTAAAGTAGCAAGGTTTAAAAAGAGACAGAATGAAGGTGCTGGTTTGGTGGGGAGTACACTGAACATGCCATTTGTCTTTGGTTAAAATCAAACCAAAAAAAAGGTAGCACAGCATAACATAGTCTGTACTTTCTTTTGACTTTAAGGTCAGATTTTGGCACAAACAAGATGCATTATTAGAACTTTTACTATGTTTCAGGGATCTACCAGGTACTCCGCTGAATCTTAGAGCTTGCTT